GTCAGTGACTTCTACCAATCATTATCACACCTGGTCAGTGAGTTCTACCAATAATTATCACACCTGGTCAGTGACTTCTACCAATCATTATCACACCTGGTCAGTGACTTCTACCAATCATTATCACACCTAGTCAGTGACTCCTACCAATCATTATTACATCTGGTCAGTGACAACACACACAGGGACTATAGGGAACAAAAGTAGCCCCCCTCCAGAAGGAAGGACAGTGTCAGCACCAATTCAGAGATGATTTGATGATCTACAGTCGAGTGATGCACAAATAAGATACATTTAATTAATAGTTAAGGTACTTGAATACATTTTTAAGATTGAACTCCTGAGTTTAGTGTCACTTTAAGGTCCTTATCGCTGAACATGACATAAAATACCATATGGTGTTTAGTGAATTAACACTGCAGGGTCTGTTCTGCCTATGAACGTGACATAAGTTGGTGCATGTTTGTCTACACTCTCACAAACCATGGTCAGGGTTTTCTCACTAGTAAAAGGAAAATGGTCTGCCCTTCTTACTCAGCTCTAAACAAGGCAGTGGAGCCTGAGAAGATACGAACAATATCACTGAACAGTTCTTCATAGAGGTTTGCTTGAAAATAAATCATACCTTCTGTATCCAGGAAAGTGAGGATGGCACACCTGCAGTCATCTAAGAACTCTCTTTTTTCCACCTCACCACCTCCATTCTTCGTTTTCCCAAAAAACAACTCTAGTTTATCCAGGATGACTTCATTTGTCAGGCCAGGAGGAAGTTTATATACCAGGATCTTTGTTGGACTCAGACTCATCTCCATCTGTAGATTACATCAAATCAAATAGCTTTATCAAATCTTTCCAGAGACAGCTAATGTGCCAGAATTATAAAGTATAGATGCATTATTTCCGTTATCACCATCAGAAGTTTCTTCTGCTGCTGCCCAATTATCTGCAGCCATGAAATTCCAGCTCACTTAAGCAAAGAGGCAGGATGTAGTGACCTCAGTGGGGCATTCCATCTCTGCAGTGGAGAGGTAGGCTGCAGGTACCGGTCTAGGAGCCAGCTACCTACAAGGTTTGGGTGAGTATAATTTTTTATTTTCGTCCCTAGACGAAAACAAGCACTTAACCCTTGCAGTGCAGGGGTATCACCACTATAATTTAGTTTTTGTTTGACAAATGATGGTGTACACTGCATCTTTTTGGATTTGCACTATTGTTTTGTCATGCTTGATGACGTCTCTGTAGCGGTGAGGCATGTTGAATTATGAATCACATTTGTGTATTTATGATGTAGAGACAACAGGTAACCACTGTTTAGGGTCTTTCAAGATACTCTACCACAGTGGCCTGGTAGTGGCCTGAGACTTTAATACTAGTTTAAACCCTCCTTGATCAATCTATTAACATTTAATGATAAGTCAGTACTAAATTAGACAAAGGAATACCAGTAGACGTGGTATATCTGCACTTTGCTAAAGCATTACAGTACCCCACAAACGTTTAATCCATAAACTAAGGTCTACAGGTCTAGATGAAATTGTATGTACATGGGTGGAAAATTGGCTGCCAGAACGGAGTCAGAGGGTAGTGATAAATGGGGCATTCGCTAATTGAGCAAGGGTGGGGAGTGGGGTGCCCCAGGGTTCAGTCCTGGGACCGATCCTGTTCATCTTATTCATTTACAACATAGAGATTGGACTAAATAGCTCCATTTCGGTTTTAGTGGATCATACTAAACTATGCAGAGCAGTAAGCTCCCAACTGGATATATTCGCACTACAACAGGACTTAAGCAAAATTGAGGCATGGGCTACAAGATGGCAAATGGGATTTAATGTTAAAAAATGTAAGGTTACGCACATGGGAGTAAAGAATATGTGCGCAAACTACTACTTGGGTGGTGCTACTTTAGGGAAGTCAGACATGGAAGAGACCTGTGGGTCCTCACACATCGCAGATTTAGCAATAGTAAGCAATGGCAAGCAGCAGCCAGCAAAGTTAACAAGATACTGGCGTGTATTAGAAGAGGAATTGTAGCAAGGGATCAAAGAGTAATACTTTCACTTTATAAATCATTGGTTCGACCCCATCTCGAGTATGTGGTACAGTTCTGGTAGAAAACTCTCAGGAGGGATGTCCTGGAACTGGAGAGAGTTCAGAGAAGGGCTACAAAAGTCGTTAAAGGGATAGAAGGCCTGAGTTATGAAGACCGCAAATTAAACGTATTCACCTTAGAAAGGAGGCGATTAAGAGGGGACCTTATTGCAGTCTTCAAATCATCAATGGGGACCCCTATATTAGGAATAAACTGTTTAATCCTAAAACTGTATTGAGAACTGGGGGATACAACAGGAGGCTAGAAAAGGGGTGTGTGGGGCTTTGGCGGGGGGTGGCCGAGGGTTGTGTGCTGTTATTTCATTTAATTAGGAAAGTGGATTATAATGGGGAACGTTACACTGTAATGTTCCCTATTATAATCTATTTCTATTTCTCTTTCTATCAAAGTTTGTGACTACGTTACAATGTGTGACCGGTGACATGGTGACTTTTCATTTCAGGACCGATCCGCTGTTTCAGTGCAGATCGGTTCTCCTGCACATACCATCTGCGATGCGGATCTGCCCTGGAATAGCTGAGAAAGTGTTGGAATGCTTAACCTACTGGCGGTCACACATTCCACCGCCGAAAAACTGGGCGCGATTACGTTAAAACGTGTGACCACGTCACCGGTCACACATTCCAACCTAGTCACAAACTTTGATAGAACACCATCAGGGGAGTATGGCCGGTACTCATGTGAGGGGTCTGGGCAGCCTGGGGGGCCTCTTACAAGCTGTACCAGGGGCGGCATGGCAGAGATGACAGGGGAGGGGGTGGAGGAGGACGGGCCCCAGCAGCAGCAGGTAAGAGGAGTTGGGAGGAGGTACAGGGAAAGGGACCACGACGCCCAGCCCAGCTGGGACCCTGCTGAGCCCACCATAGAGAGTCTCAGGTGGGCTATGCAGGATCTATGGTGTGTTCTGCAGGGTCTCAGGTAAGTCCAGAGTCTAGCTACTGCAAACATTATAGA